TCTTGACAGGACTTTTCACGTGATTCTATAAATTTCTCTTTCAAAGAATCAAGATCAGCAGCTGCTTCTCCAAAATTCATTTTGGGTCCTGAAGAAGTTTCTGCACTCGATTGGTAGATGATAAAATATTTCTCCAAAAATGCAAAATTACAAGAAAATCAAATGTAAGCATGTGTTGCAGAATATTATGAGCACCACATTTTGTTTCAGCCGTGTTGCCATTCGCACTTAATAGTTCTAACAGTCCTAGCAATTAATCCAGTTTTTCATGTACAACTTTTACTGCCTTTTCTCTTGCACTCCACCGTGTTTCTGATTCACACTTGACAGAGATCTTAAGCTCCTGCTGCAGTTCGTCCCATCGAGTTGTTGAATGAGCAAAGAAATTATAAATGGCTTCAATTATACCAAAAAAAAGGAAATAACTGACTTGCAGCATGAATACATGCTAAGTTCAAACTATGTTTGTCACAGTTTATAAACAATGCTTTTGGATTTTTGTTCAGAATTCTTTGTTGAACGCCTAACAAATGACCTGACATGACAGTAGCATTATTATAACATTGTGAACAACAATCACTCAATAAAATTCCACCCGCTTCTAATTTTGTGCTTATTGTTTTCTCAATATTGGCAGCGTCTTTTTTCCTTTATCTGTATAAAGTCAATAAATGACTCTTTGACTTCTACTTTTCTTGTCAACAAACCGAATCACTTGGGCCAATTGCTCACGATGGGCTAAATCAGGTGTGGAATCAAACAGAATACTATAGTATTTGTTTCTACGAATTGCTGACAAACAATAATTTCGCACATGTGAAACCATGAGATTTATAAACTCATTTTGGATTTCAAAAGAAAGATAAGATGTTGACGTTTGCTTTTTTTTAACACGTTCTAAATACTCTCTCATTACTGGATCATACTTTGCTAATAACTGGAAAAGTGACAGGAAATTTCGAGGGTTTTCGTTTGAGGTTCCTCAGTATGACCATGAAATGCAAGATTCTGAGAAGCTAAATATTGTGTACAATCCAGCAACCGTCGCAGTACATCTCTCCATTTATTTTTTATTGCTGAATTAGCCTTTGCAGTTCTCCATCAATGCCACTTTGAAGACGAATTCAGCGCTCAGTTTCTTTCCAAGCAGCAAATGACTCACAATGACTGTCACTGTTTTCATGGGCATTCAACTTT